TGCAGGTGAGTCCGTTATGATTCAGAGCAACCCTACGTACAACAGCTCGAAGTACTCACTGCACAGTCCCTTCCCACACATTCCTGTTTGAGGCCATTGTTGCAGCCACGGTGTCCAGTCATCTTGTGAACAGCCTTCTTCTTTTTGCCCACTCTCTACTTTACCAAGCACAAGGTCCCTCTCCAGAGATTAGTCCTTCCGAATGACGTGGCCAAAGCATGTGAGTCACGGGTCTGGCCATCCTCACATCTAAGGAACATTCTGGTTGTTAAAGCTTGGACGTCTCTCAAAGGCCAAGTGAGCCTCTTTTGGTGACAATGTTCATTGGATTTAGAAGGTATAGGTCCAGCTACTTTGATCATAGGTTATTAGCACGTAAGACAAAAACTATTCTAAGTAGCATTAAAAATGTGTAAAAGCAAACTTTCTCCAAAAAAACAAAACAAACAACCTTAGAGTTCCCAAAAGAAGTGGAGTAGAGGAAAGGTGGAAACTGATGACCAACAACAGTAATGGGTCTGCGGAGCCAACTCTGTTCTGGACAGCTTGGTGAGCGAGGAAGCTGAGACTAATTTTTATGGTCTGAATCTCGATGACTTTTTTTACTCCTTGGCTGTTGCCCCAACACTCAAGACAGAGAAGGGATGCCTTTATTCTTTTAAACAACACTGGCCGATGGAACTCCAGCTTCCTTGTTTCATTTTTAGAGGATTCCAGAATGCTATGTTTCAACCTCTCCTAAACTTCTCTTTGACTAAAGTACCACTGCGTGTTTGCGTATTTGTCAAGACAATCGCCTAAATTAAAATGAAAGAATATGGAACAGGATTGGATCAAAAACATTTTTTACACAACGATTACATGAGACCATGAGTTTTGCCCCATGGTCATGACTGTTGGAAAGAACAAAACACACCACAGGATGTTTATTAATAGAAAACAGATCACATTATGAGAGAGCCTAATGTTTTCTCTGAACATTCCACCATCTCTTCTTTTTCAGTAAAAAATGTTACACAGCGTCCACGCTGGAAACATACAAACAACTTGTTCCATAGAAGTGATAGTTATTGTTGCCATTAAGTTGGCTCTGATTGATGATGATCTCATGTATGACAGAATTAAATGTTGCCCCTTCTCCTTACCATCTTCATGACTATTGGTATGTTTGAGTTCATCGTGAATCACTGTCCCCAATTTCACAAGCAGGAGTTGTCAGATTGCCAGGTATCTTGAATGCCCCCCTCCCCTATTGCTTTCTGTTGTGACTTTCACAGGGACACATATATGAGGTGCCCACCACATTGTGGCCCAATTAGTAACATTTCTACAAGCTCTTATTTCAGATCATGAGCCAGCAGCTAAGACAAAAATAATCCCAAGGACCATTAAAATTTATAAAAGTAAGCTATCTTCTAGTCAAAAATAGCCTTCCAGTCCCCAAAGGGAGTGAAATGTAAGGTGGTGGGGGGTATGCAAACTGATAACCATCTGCTTTCCACACCATCACAATTACTGGGTCATATATTTCTATACTAAAATTAACATCTATTTTTCATCATCCATTCCCACCTCTTAGAAAACCCAGCAAGAATAAACATGAAAAAGACAAATCACACCAAGCCCCGAGGATGATATCCCTGCTCAGAGCACCCAATGCACAGACAGGACCATAGGGCCAGCCCCACCATGAGATAAGATGTCCCTCACTGACCCATAGCACTATTAGGGACAACACTGGAGGCACAGTGCGGGAATTGTGCCTGATCTGACCCCACCACACTGGGGCAAAATGCTAAGGGTGTGCAACAGAGCAGCAAGGGGAGCAGAGCAATGAAGTCCCTGGGTATACCAAAAATAGACTTTGGAACCAGGGCATGACACCCCATCAGACTCGACCAGAAAATACACCTTAAGGTCAACAAACAGATCTGGAACTATTCATAAACTTTTCTTTCTTTTTTCATGGTTTTTGTTGTTTTTGTTTTCTTTTGTTGTTTTGTTTTGCTCTCTCTTGTTCTTGAGCTTATTATTGTCTCTGCATGTCTATCTAGATAAGATAGGCAGGATAAACAATCTGGAGGAGAAAACAACGAACCGAAGGTTTGGGGAGACATGGGAGAGGGGGAAGCAGCGGAAAGGAAGTGGGTGTTAACAAACCCAGGGACAAGGGAACAACAAGTGATCTAAAATTGATGGCTAGGAGGGTGTAGGAGGCTTGCTAGGGCTTGATCAAGGGCAATGTACCCAAGAGGAATTCCTGAAACCCAAACGATGGCTGAACCTGATAGTGGAACAAGAAGAAAGTAAAAGGAAATAGAGGAAGGAAGTAGGATGCAAAGGACATTTATAGAGGTCTAAATACAGACATGTTCATATGTAAATATATTTATATATGACGATGGGGAAAAAGATCTATGTACATATATTTATAGGTTTAGTATTAAGGTAGCAGATGGACATTGGGCCTCTACTCAAGTACTACTTCAATGCAAGAACACTTTATTCTAATAACCTGGCATTCTGTGATGCTCACCTTCCCGATACAATTGCTGAAGACAAAGTAGGTGCATAAACAAATGGGGTGAAGAAAACTGATGGTGTCTGGCTATCAAAAGATATAGTGTCTGGGGTTTTAAAGACTTGAAGACAAACAAGTGGCCATCTAGCTGAGAAACAACAAAG